GCCTGCCTGGCAAGTGCAAGGTCCTGAGTTCAATTCCCGGTACAGAAAAAAAAAATCCCCTTATGAGCCTTTCCTCTATTCCAAGCACCACTGCAACTGCCTATTTCTTGTAGATATTCTGGCTCTTTCCTTTTTGTGTCTGTGCGAATCACATCTACCGTGAGAAGCACAGGGTAAATGTAGTTTGTAAAAATTTTGTTTCCCATATAGCTTCTGCAGTTTCAAATAAAAATTTCTCTTATTCATGAAAACTTCCTCAAATTAATCAGATCATGTCTGCCAATGTACATCAGTTATTATTTGCTTTTCTTTTGTTTCTGTTTTCAGCAATATTAAGTTGAAGAAAATTCACTTCCAGTACAGCAGAATTTACTTTAAAATTCTGGATATTCTATTAAATTTTTTAAAATTAATGACTAAGTTGGTAAAATTAGGAATTCTTTGTAGAACAGAATGTCAAATAAATATCAGCAGAAGAATAAGTGAAAAACTGGAACTGTAAATTTCTCCGGGGGTATCTGCGGATCCCTGGTAGTCTAGAGCGTTGATTTTGGTGGGTTGGAGTCTGGATTTCTTGCAGGGTGAGAGGTGATAGGAAAACCCCTTGTGTAAACCAAATCCAAGAAGGACAGCGCCCTCAGCAGGTAAAGCCGAGAAATACTTGCCCTATGCATTAAAATAGGATTCAGTCCCGTCCAAACCTACTTCTGGTGTTTAACGTTATTGCAATGCCTCTGTGTTTTTAAAAAATTTCCAAGTCAAAGATTAAGTTTCAAGTGGTCCAGACCTGATATGTCTTTTAAGTAATTGGTAGAAGCAGGTGTAAATGTTCCTTGGAGAAACTTAACTCCGATCTTGGAAAATTATCACAGATACAATTTCAAGAAAAGTGAGCTCAGACACAAGTAAAAGGTGGGAAATGCTTCTGGTGTTCTAATATTAATTATCGTGACACTATTTGCATAGAATTGTTTAATATTTTTGAGAGCTTTCTTTTCTCTATTTTCATAGTTCATTTTAATTAGAAATAGATATTGAACATTTGAAATTATACATGGTAAAATTTATCTAGGCTTTTTTTTGTTGTCTAGACTTTTAGTAGGGTGATATAAATCATTCAATTCCTTTCTAATTATTTTCCTTATTTTATCATAGTTCACTTCGTAAAAATATAATACATTTGTAAGACATTTCCTTAATTTATTCTTTTCCCACCAAAATGCTAAGTTATATATGGAGCAATATTAGGACACTTATATTCCATTTTCTTCCAATAGTACTTACTATGGGTCAGCCCTGTTCCAAGCACTTTACACACACTGACTTATATAGTTCTTATGGTCCCCAAACAAGCTGACATTACTACCATCATATGGATGAACAAACAGGCACAGAGGGGTTAAGCAAATTACTCAAGGTCACACAGCTGTTAAATCTTTAAACCCAGACTGACTGGCCCCAGAGTTGCACTGTTAATCCTTATGTTGTTCCACATCTCTGAAAGTTCTCCCCTGACTACAATCTGTTGGAATTCCTTTTATTTTTAAAATCTTAAAAGTTATTTTTTTGTTAGTGTATGTTTGCAGTATAAAATGATCATATTTATTGAAGTCGCTGGTATGTGTACATAACACATCTTAATTCTTTTTATGTCCACTTCATAGAATTTTTCTCATTTCTTTGTTTTTTCTTTTTTTTTTTTTTCCCCAGTACCAGGAATCAAACTCATGACCTCACGTTTGCCAGGCAGGGGCTGTGCCGCTGAGCTAAATCCCCAGCCCCTCTCATTTCTTTGATTATTCATTTCTGCCTGAGCAGTAGTCACAATTTGAAATTAAATAGTTTGATTTCTGTTTATACCGTCTTTGAAAGCAGAAAGCATTTTGTACCATTTCCTTGCTATTATACAGTGCTTAGCATACAAATGTATGAATATTAAAAATTTTAAAAGTGTGTTATAGTAAAAGATACATTGGCACTGATACCTCTCAAAAATACTCCCCCTTGCTTTGGACACACTTATCTCGCCGTCCTGGCCGCCTTCCGAGGCAGGTCTGGAAGTTCTCTTTTGTGAATATCATTACAAGTTACGACAGCAATCCAGTGAGTGCTGCTGAGTGCCATCCAGTGGAAAGACAGGCCGGTAATAACATTACAGTGTCCTTGTCCACTTTATTTATCAAATCTGACACCATGTGATTTCTGGCTCTTGCCTAAAGTAAAAATGACCGTGAAAGTTAAATGCTTTGGGTGATTCAGGATATATTTTTTTTTTATTTTAAAGAATAAAAGAAGGATAACATAATAATAGGGGGGACTTAGTGATTCAGGATATTGAGGCAACCACTACAGCACAACTAATGACGTTCAGGAGGGAGGAGTTCCGGAAGTGCTTCAGAAAGTGGCAAGAATAGTGCGATATATGTGTTTGCATTCTGGCAGGATTAATTACAGTATGTCTTTTGTTTTGCTTTTGTTTGTTCGTGAGACAGGGTCTTGCCACGTAGTCCAGGTTGGCCTTGAACTATGTAGCCTAAACTGGCTTTGAACTTGTGGTAATCCTCCTGCCTCAGCCTCCCAAGTGCTGGGATTACAGGCATCCACCTGTAATCCAGCATCCAATGGTGTCTTTTATTGTAATAAATGTTTAAACATTTAAACATCCACTGTATTTTTCATTTACATTTTATACAGCAGATGGCCAATTAGTATTTGTAGGCTGGGTATGGTGGCACACGCTTGTAATCCCAGCAGTCTGAAGGAGGATTGCTGTGAGTTGGAAGCCAGCCTGGGCTACAAAGTGAGGCCAGGCTGAACTGCATGGTGAAACCTTGTCTCAAAAAAGACCAAAAAAAAAAAAAAAAGTTGCATGAATAAATGCCTAGGTAACTAGGAAGTGTTTCTCTCACAGGGTAATGTCTCCATCTTGTGGACTTTTAGAATACTGTACTTTCATTTATATTTTTTAAAAAATAAACTCGTTTTCTCCAGAGAACTGATGTTCCAGTGCCCTTTCCAAATTTTTATTATTTTTACTTTTTTTTTATATTGAATCCAGGGCTTTTGTACTGAGCTACATTCCAAGCCCTTTAAAAAAATTTTTTTTGCTATTATGAAGTTTATTGGCACAATTTAGATATATTCATATCGATCATAGGGAAGTTGTACCTGTACATGATATGTCTTGGTACTCTTTTTCTCCCATTCCCCTCCCCTCCAACGCCTCTTCCCCTCCTTCTTTACAAAGCTTGATTTCCATTGCAACCTTCTTTTCTCTCTGTTTTTTTCCTTTTTCCTTTTCCTTTTTTTATTTTGACACAAAGTCTCGCTAAATTCCCCAGGTGGATTCGAATTCGCCATCCTCCTGTCTCAGCCTCTTAAGAGTATTGGGATTGCAGGCCTAGGCCACCAAACCCGGTTGAGGGTGATTTATTGAGGCTGCGGACCCTTTTGATTTATTTAGCGCTGCAGAATAGACTTGCTGGCATCATCATGGTGGCCTTGTCACCTGCTTGGCTTGCCTGGTGGAATGAACCGTGCCACTGAGTAATGGCACTGCGGATGTCCAGACCTTGGTACTTCTACTTTGTCACAAAGGTAGACCACAGACCCATGGATAAGCTCTTGGTTGAGAATGATCCCCCAGACATAGTTAAACCCCCTTCTTTGTAGCGTTCACGCAACTTTCTAAGGGGTCTGTCATCCGCCGATCCCTACTCCCGACCACATACTCCTGGTGGGTGGTGGCCAAAATAGAAATCGTAAACAGAAATCGTCCCTGCCTTATCACCATACACTAGAAAAGAAGGGCAATTTATTCTCTGTTACAAATCCCAGGTTTTCTTTTCTTATTTGTTTGTTTGCTTTTTGGTTTTTTTTTTTCCAGTACCGGGAATCAAACTCACAACGTCAAGCTTGCCAGGCAGGCTCTGTGCCGCTGAGCTAAATCCCCAGCCCTTAGGTTTTCTTGTATATGGCTTTACACACACAACCTAGAATAATTTTTTTTTTAAAATACCAACAAGTTAAGAACTAGTTGCTCAATTTGCCTTTTTTAAGTATATGTGCTTCCGAAGCGAGCACTCAATCTTCCTCTTAAGGGGAAGCTCATTGACCAGAAATGGACGGAAAAAGAAGGAACGGTTTTAGGCCGGTATGATTATAAATGCGCATGCTGGTGTTTTTCTCCTTCAACCTAGGTTCGACCTTAACCCTCACATTCACCAGCCGCCAGGCTGGAGGCCGGAAGTCTGGCACCTACCCCAGCCGCTCTTCCCTCACCCGGCCCCACTCTATGATTCTCAGGTTACTCTTGCCACGGAGAACTCGATGGTTCCGGGGCGGGCCGGGAGGCCTGCATTCGAAGAGCGGCGGGAAGCGGGAGGTGACACCTGTCACTAGGCCCGGGTTCTCCCGAGCGCGGGGGCGCTGGGACTATGCTGTTCCCTAAACACCCGGCGAGGCATGACTCTTCCGCGCCGGAGTGGGAAGCGGCGGCGATCAGCGTCGGACTCAGACTCGTTCCCGGGAGGCGGCGGTGACCGCGGCGCGAGCCCGCAGCCCCCCGCGGGGCCGGCGCTGAGCCCGCCCCCGGGCCTGGGACGCAGCCTGACGGCCGCAGGTGCGGTGCCGCCCGGTGCTGCTCGCCCGCCGGCCGGCCGGGCTCCCTCCCTTCCCGGGGACTCGCGTGGGGCGGGGTTCAGGCGGCTGCGGGCGTTTCGGGCTTTGTTCTTGTTCCTTCGGGACAGCGTCTCTTACGTAGTTCAGGCTCGCCTCGAACCCGGGGAGTAGCTCAGGCTGGCCCCGAAGATCGTGCCTTCCTCGCGGGCGCCGGATGACAGGCGTGCGCCCGGCGTGGGCCCTTGGATCTTTACAGAAGCGGCTTCCTAGTTCCCCAGACCCTGTTGCCTGAGGCAGGTTGCTCCTCCTAGAGCCCAGACTCGGGCTGTGCGAGTCCAGAGAAAGGCCGGGAGGGACTGTAACGTTTTCTCCGGTTGCTCGCGAGTAAGGTTACATTTCGTGACAAGGAGTGTAAGTGTTCCCGCCCGGCGTGGTGGCGCACGCCTGTAATCCCAGCCCTCGGGAGGCTGAGGCAGGAGGATCCTTGCGAATTCGAGACCAGCCTGGGCTACAAAGTGAGCCCGAGGCCAGCTTGAACTGCGTAGCGAGACCCTGTCTCAAAAAAAAAAAAAAAAAAAAAAGTTTCCATCTGGGCGTGTTTCACCCAGCCTTACTACCCTACCCCCAGCCGAGTCTTTATCTAGTGCAGTCATCCCAGCACTAAGATAGAAACCTCCTGAAAGTTTACATCTCCCCAGCGGGGAGCCTCCGTCCCTAATATCCCTCCGCCCTCGGAATTCCGACACGCCCTACCTTGTGTATTAGCAGGTTTTGGGAAGGAGGGGTTGTTTCTGCGCTTTAAAGGAGCTTAAAATGTTCTATCCAAGCCGAGCTTGGTAGCGCACGCCTGTAACCTCAGCACTCAAGAGGCTGAGGCAGAATTGCTCGGGAGTTCGAGGCCAGCCTGAATTACAGAGCGAGAGTCTGTCTCAGGGAAAAACAAACTCTATTCAGTAGGCAACATTTTACTATTACCTTTCTCTACCTGGACAGTTTCCCAAGAGGTTCATGAATTCAGAATGTGCTTTAAATAGCTTCATTCTAACACCCAGGAATTCCAACACACGTGTAGTGGAGGGCTAACTACCAAAGTTATATGTCTGAAGTAAACTAAACTATTATTTGTTTCTTCTTTCCTGAAAGGACTATGCAAGCAAACACTTCCTGAGGACCAACTAGACAAGCTGTTATTGGCAAATTGGGGACTTCCTAAAGCAGTTCTACAGAAATATCACAGTTTTGGTGTAAAAAAGATGTTTGAATGGCAGGCAGAATGCCTTTTGCTTGGACAGGTCTTGGAAGGAAAGAATTTAGTTTATTCAGGTACTCAATTTATGCACGCTAATTCTCTATTATTTTTAAGATCTTGTGTAAAGGATACTCTGTTGAGTTAGTTTAGTTTTTCTTTTAAAGGTAGTGAGGGGCTGGGGATTTAGCTCAGTGGCACAGCACCTGCCTGGCAAGTGCAAGGTCGTGAGTTCAATTCCTGGTACCGGAAAGAAAAAAAGGAAAAAAAATAAAGGTAGGTGAGACAAGACTTTATAAAGTCTTAAAATATTTGCTTACAAGTGTAGAGTCATCATATGCTTATTTATTTGTCTTTTTGAGACAGGGTTTCACTATGCAGTTAAGGCTGGACCCGAACTCACTTTACTCCAACGTGACCTATAACTCCCAGTGATCCTCCTGCCTCAGCCTCCCTAGCGCTGGGATTACAGGTGTATGCCACCACATTTAACCTAGATATGCATATTTAAATTAGGAAAATTCCTCTTTAAGACTGAGGTGGGAGGGAAAGCAAGGAATATTAGAATTTGTAAAGTAAGCAGTTCTGCCTGCTCTGCAGGTAAGTGTCCCACAATGTGTGTGACGGAGATGTGAATTTGCTGTTTTCCCATTTGATCTCAGTTGCTTTCAGGATGTAAATATTATACATTATATGTGTATAAATTGATCTCTGTGAACAGGGTTGTATGTACAAAACTATATATGTGTATATATATATAATGTTTTGTAGAAGATTTATGTGGGCTTTCTAGGATAACTTTGATATACATAATTTTGATCTGTGCTTGCCACATTGGCTTTAGACTAGTCATTTGGTAAGATGTAATTCCTTTGTGTCAACGTTTTCTGAAATTGTAAGTCACCCAGATTTTTCATTATGGCTGCAAAAAACAGAGATTTACTTTATCAGTAGACATAAGTTCAGCCTGTGGAGTTAGACTGGTTGAGTTTGAAAGTGATATCACTTACTGGTTGTGTCACTGCAAATTATGAGGCGGGGGTGCCGGAGGGGTGGGGAGTCAGACACTCGGTAGCATTTAGGGTTACATTATTTCTTATGTATAAGAGGTTAGAGCAGTTTTTGTCACTTAGGAGAGTACTACTCCTGAATGCTGAGTTCAGTGGCTGTGGTAGAATGTCCAGAACTTAAGCTGCAACCCAGAACTTGGATATCACTCATGTCTGTGGTTACAAGTTCATACAAGTAACCACCAAGTCCTGTGTCTATTACTATAAAAATCTCTTGAGTCTAAATACTTTTGACTGCTTTCTGTTCTTCTGCCCATGGCTGGGTACAGCTCTTTATCATTCTTCTTTTAGATTAGGCAGTAGTCTCGTAACTAGTTTACCTTTTTCCTGTTTTTGCCCTGCTCTTTCAGCCAACCTGGCTTATAATAGTACAAATCTGATCCTGTCACTCCCTTTCAAAGAACTCATCTATCATTCTGCTTGCTTTTAGGACAGTCTAGCTGGGCGTGGTAGCACATGCCTGTAATCCCAGCACTTGGGAGGCTGAGGTAGGAGTATCCTTGTGAGTTCCAGACCAGCCTGGGCTACAAAGTGAGTTTAAGGCCAGCCTGAACTGCATAGCGAGATCCTGTCTCAAAAAGATAAAAAAAAAAGACACACAAAAAGAGGATAGTCTACTAAACTGCTTTCCTAGCAGGACTCTAAAATTCTTCCTCACATGCTGCTTTTGTATCTTCTTCCTCTCCTGGAATACTTTATACTCCAGGCTGAGCAAATTCCTTACTGTCATCTGCGTGGGCCAGGATCTCCTCCAGACTTTTGTATATGCGTTTCTCATGCTTTGCATTCTTTTCTTCTTCCCTTTTCCCTTCCTTCTCATGTTATGTTTCCTTTCCACAGGCTTTCTTACAGTCACCCTTCCTCATTTTCTATCATAGCTCCTATTACATGTTAAAGTTGTTTATCCTCTCAAAACAGGGCTTTTAGTCATTCACCAAGTGAAAAAGTATTTTTTTTTCTTTTCTGTGTGTGTGTGAATCTTTACATATAAGCTAGATGCTCAACAATATTGATCATTTATTGCTGATAGAAGATTTTTTTTAATTTTTACTCTCAATGAGAAAGTATTTAGAAAGCTAGTTTAAAATCAAAGGCCTTTCAGGGAATAAAGGTTTCCAGTGCTAGTTGGGGCCTTAATGATAGGACAGCTGTTGGCTCTGTAATGCTGACTATGGCTTAAAACATTTATTAATGCAGTGTACCAAATATTGTTTTCATTTTACTTGTGTTTATCTTTTTTTTTTTTGTGGTGGTAGAGATTGAACCCAGGGTTTTGTGCATGCTAAGCAAGTGCTCTATGGCTGGGCTATATCCCCACTCCTAACTGTGTTGAATAATCATATTTTAGCTCCTACAAGTGCTGGGAAGACCCTTGTTGCAGAATTACTTATTTTGAAGCGCGTTTTGGAAATGCGGAAGAAAGCTTTATTTATTCTTCCCTTTGTTTCTGTGGCTAAAGAGAAGAAATACTATCTCCAGGTAAATACTAAGTTTGAAATAGTAAAAGTCCCATTACTGGCATCCTTAGCTTTATTCATTTGAAATAGTATTTATAAAAGCAGGGCCAGGGATATAGTCGCAGCATTTATTTATAAAAGCAGGGCCAGGGATTAGCAGCACAGCACCTGCCTGGCAAGCACAGGATCCTGAGTTTGATTCCTAGTGTTCCCAAAAAAGAATTTATATTTATTTATTTGTCTTTTTGAGACAGGGTCTTGTTATGTAGTTCAGGCTGGCCTTGAGCTCACTTTTTAGCTCAGGCTGGCCTCGAACTCACAATGATCCTCCTGCCTCAGCCTCCTTAGTGCTGGGATTACAGGCATGTGCCACCACGCCTGGCCTTAAAAAAAGAATTTATAAACACAGGTGAAAAACACAATTTCTTTTACTGTATCCCATCTTTCCTTAAAAGCTGATTATTGGAAATGTGAAAGATTTATAGAGGAAAACTTTTAATAATTATTGTTACATAAAAGGGAAAGGGCCAAAAAGTCATGCAAGTGATTATTGACTATTGTGTAAAAATTTATAAATGTTTTCTTCAGAAGCAAACAGAATAGTTAACTAGTGTTAATTCCATTATATACCCTGAAAATTAAGAATCAGCATTTTAACTGAGTTGTAGGTCTAGTATGACAAGGAGCGAGTGCCTGAGGAAGCATGTCCCATTTTGTTTGAGGTCCACTGGGAATGTCTAGGGGCTGATAGAGAAGAGCCTTGGTATTTAGGCAAAGTTCCAGATCTGTGATGTGTACCTCTTTTCTTGCAAAAAGAAATGGTACGAGTTTACATTGATGTGATACTAACTAGTTTTTGAGGCTTTTTACCAGGCAGGTGCTTGTGCCTCTGAGCTGTATCTCCGGCCCTAAGGCTTTTTAACAAAGAGTGTTTCACCAAATGCAATACATTTACTATTGTGATTTCATCAGTGAAAAAATGTGTTATTAGAATGGAAAGATTATTCTACTAGTAGCCCAAAAAAATCTGGCTTCTACTCCCTTTTGCCACTGTTTTCAGCCCAGAAACAGTGTGCTGGGCCTCAGTGTTTTTATTTGCAGAGCGAGGATGTTATCTCTTAGCACTGGATTAACTCAGATGCTCAGAAGAAATTTATCGAATAAACAGCTCTCAAGTTCTGTGATTCTATACATCTTTTTAACAGTTATTTCAGAAGCCAGTAGCCAGGAAAGCCGGTCCTTCATGGTAGCATCCTCTCAACTTAGACCCAAAGTAAGAAAATGATGAAAGGACCTTTTATACTGAGAAGGTACATTAGTTAAATGTTAAACTAGAAAAAGAAAAAACGTTAATTCCACACTCCCATTGAATTTGACTTATAACTCTGGTTTCTCTTCAGATCATATAAATCCTTTGCCTTTTTGAATTTGACTTATAAAAACTTTTTTCCATTATATAAACGACTGGTCTTTAGTAGGATAAGACTGTTTTTCTTATGAAGTATTAGTTTGTTTCTTAAAATGTTATATTAGCATTAATTAAAATTTGCTAGTTTCTTGCTGTTTATTAGATTAAAAATGTTAGTGCTTAAGGTAATTTCCTCCTATTTTAATTTCTATAAATACTTCTTAGAGCCTAGATTACTAAGTGCTGTCTTTAAAATGACTTAATTTTATTTGATTCTGTCTTTTTTTTTGGCACTGGGAATTGAACTGAAGACCTTGCGCTTGCTAGGCAAGCACTTGTGCTGCTGAGCTAAATCCCCAGCCCTATTTTAACTTGGTTTTATTTTTTTAAAGTTAATTTTATTGGTGCATTTTAGATATGCACAATGATAACATTCATCATAGGAAATTTGTACTTATATATGATATATCTTAATTTTGACTCTGTCTTAACAGAAATCTTTGTATTGAGCTTTGTTAATGTTGAACTTCATAATTTTAGTATATGTCTCTAAAAAGTATGTGAGGCTTGGTCAGGAGCAACTGACAGTAATCTCATAAATGTCTTTACATAGTTATATCTGTTTTCTTAGATGGAATCCATCTATAACTCATGCATTACATTTTTTTCACTTACATTGTTTTCAATTCAGAGTCTGTTTCAAGAAGTAGGAATAAAAGTGGACGGCTATATGGGCAGTACCTCTCCAGCAGGTCATTTCTCCTCCTTGGATATTGCTGTCTGCACAATTGAGAGGGCCAATGGTCTGATCAATCGCCTCATAGAGGAAAATAAGATGGATCTGTTAGGTAAAGAAAATTTAAGCAAATACTTCTTATTGCTATTTTTGATGGAACAGAATGAAACTATTATAATTTCTGTACGTAACTGCACGTAGAGGCTCAGGGTACAAACCTCATTACTAGAAAAAAATCGTTATACTTCGTAACTGACATAGATGTCTTTGGCACGCCATTATATGTTTATTTCTATAAAGTTTCCAATTTAGAAGTGTCTGAGTAGTGATAGGCAGTGTTCCCTGGGCTTGGTTAGTCCTGAGCTAGCTAATCATTGCTTTTTAGACTCAGGATCCATTGTAGTAGGAGTGCTTATGGTAACTGAAGCATCTTGGAAAACAATTGCTCATTATGCTGAATCTGATTTTTATGTTATAGCTTGAAATTACATCACTTGCAATATATTATAATCATAGTTATATACTGTATGATATATGCTATTGAATCTTGAAAAATGTTTAGAATTGTGAAGTTCTGTAAAACCTAGCATCTGGAAAATATTTTTAGGAATGGTGGTCGTGGATGAGCTACATATGCTGGGAGATTCTCACCGAGGGTATCTGCTGGAACTTCTGCTCACTAAGATTTGCTACCTTACTCAGAAATCAGCATCTCGGTGAGTACCTGAAATGACTGCATTGCTGTTATCCACACCGTGCTAAGAAACTGGCTTTAAAGTGCAAAAGTACAAGTTAAAGGAGTATAGTACTTTATTTAAAAAATACATGTGCAGTAGTTTGTTCTCATTCTAAAAGAAGTACTTCAGACTGAAGCTGATTTTCGATTACTTTGTAAACATTGTTAGACTGGACTGCGCACTGTTTCAGTGTGCACCCTTTTATGAGAGATTTTGTATTGGTCGATTTGCACATGTACAATTTGAGTTGTCAGGACTAATTTTACAAATTAATATTTCTTTAGCCCCCACTTCTCAGAGGCAGGTACTTTCAAATCTTCTCGCTTTTTAAAAATTTTATTTAAATTTACAGCAGTATCTTTAAATGCAGCCACTTGAAGTTTAGCGTGAGACATCATCTGTAGACGTCTTACTCTGGAGCATGAAGATCTTCTGTTCTCTCCTCACTGAAACTGAATCTCATCTTCTTAGTCTCCTTTTCCTCTCATCATCCTCCTATTATCCTCCCATTCTCCAACTCTAATTGTACTTTTGCTTAGGTTATTTTTCAGTCTTGTAGTACTATAACTATATGAACACCACTGTGAACTGAGCTAGATTATTCTGTGATTCCTTTCTCCTTTCTAAAAAATGTTTTGTTTTATCTGAAATAAATAAATATCTTTCTTGTTGGGTGGCTTGGTTTTCTAGGGGCTTATTATTCATTTACCCCTGGCCTCGTCCCAAGTTGTGTAAGTCCCCAACTATTATATTCCAGTGCATTTGCTATCCTACCAAAGTCACCACCTTGAAGAAGTTTCTCCTAAGACCTTCCGAGTTGCTCCAGTATGGCGGGGTTTAGTCTGTGTATGTCCTGCATAGCACTTGCTTGAGATCTCCCTTTATCATTATCATTCATTTCTATTGCCTTTGGCTTGAGACAGAGCCCTCTTTTCTGGATTGCACACCTTTCCCTTGATTTCTTTCCTCATTTTTGTGGAGCTGTCATCCAGAAAATTGCCCTTATTTCAGTGAAGACACTAATATAAAGTTTTTGGTATTTGCTATTTATTTATTTATTTTTAAAATGGTACTAGTAGATTGAACCCAGGGCTTTGCATTACACTACACCCCTAGCCTTTATTTTATTTTTTAAAGATCTGATTAAGTTACTGAATTGCCTGGGCTGGCCTTGAACCATATTTGAAAATTCCTTTTGATTTATATTTAATAAATTGTCTAGGTATGAAAGTCAAGATTAGAAATATATTATTCCTTTATTTTTTCATTTTATTGAGAAATCCAATGCCATATTGATCCTTCATCCTTGGTATAATATATAATTTTTTTTTCTGGGAGCTTTTTTTTCCTTTAGTGTGGTGAGATTTCATACTGATACACTTTGGTGTTGGTCTATTTTCATTTATTTTGCTAGGCACTAAATAGGTTTCTTCCCCTGAGGAAGATTTTGGATTGGGTCTTTAAATTTAGGAGGTCTGATTTTTTTGAGTTCCTTGTATATTCTAGGTATTAGTCCTTTGTCTGAGGAACAGCTGGCATAAATTTTTTCCCACACCATGGCTTGTCTCTTCACCCTGTTGGTGGTTTCTCTTGCTGTGCAAAAGCTTTTTAATGAAATCCCAGTTGTCGAGTCTTTGTAATAGTTCCTGTGCGATTGGGATTTTATTCATAAAGTCTTTGTCTACACCAGTGTCTTCAAGAGTTCTACCTATTCTGTCTCCCTGCACGTTTAGTGTTTTTGTTTTAATATTTAGATCTTTGACCCATTTTGATTTTAGTTTAGTGCGTGGCGAAAGATATGGGTCTAGTTTTAATCTTTGGCATATAGAAAGCCAGTTTTTCCATGTAGGAAGATTTAAATATGTCTTACCATATGATAGAATATACTGCATAATACATATACTATATCCCAAATCATTAGGGATAGAGAAGATATGACTAATGCAGTCAGCAAGTTTCACCTAATGGTTGTGTATAGAATAGTTACCCAAAACAGCAGAATATATGTTTTTAGTTTATCATTTATGTAAAGATTTACCATATTCTGGACCATAAAGTAGGTCTTAATATATTTCAAAGGACTGAAATCACTTAAAACACACTCTTTGCCACCAGACATGGTGGTGCATGCCTGTGATCCCAGCACTCGGAGGGGCTGGGCAGGAGGAGCACTGGGAGTTAGAGGCCAGTCTATGCTACATATTGAATTCAAGGCCAGCCTGAGCTATATAGTGAGACCCTGTCTCAAAAAAAACCAAAAAACAAAAAACTCCCCAAAACAAAAACAAACTCATGAATGTAATCATTACATACTGCAAACAAGTACAAATAAAAATTTAAAATTAAAAAAATACTTCTTGAAAACAGTGGAATCAAGGTATAAATAAGTATAAGCAAGGCATAACTAGAAAATGTATAATGTTTAGAAATTAAATAATAGATTTTTGGACTCATTGTTTTGGGACAAAAGAATCAGTTGAAATTAGAAAGTAGTTTTTGACTATAAAAATATCTAATAATAAATGAATGCAACTGATGTTGTTTTAAAGCGAAAAAATTATTTTACTTACTTATTTCTTGTTTTTTTTTGAGACAAGGTTTCACTATGTAGTTCTGGCTGGCCTTGAACTCACTCTGTAGCCCAGCTGGCATCCAACTTGCAGCAATCTTTCTGCCCTGTCCGAGTGCTGGGATTACAGGTGTGCACCACTAAACTCAGCTAGTTAAAGGGAAATTGATAGTATTATATATACATGTTAATTACTTAATTTATCCTTTTTAAGAACTTCAGAAAAGAATTGTAAGGTAATGTCACAGAAAGTAGAAGGAAAAGAATAGTAAAAACCACAAAAATTAATGAAAGAAGAAAGTCGCTATGTAAATGTTTTAATCAATTCTACAAGTAACAAAAACACAAGTAGCCCAAATATTGATGAGGAATTTGAACTGATGAGCAATTTGACATTGCAAGAGAGTTGCAATGTCAACTCTCTTGATGAGGAATTTGACAAAAATTGATGAGGAATTTGACATTTGCAAGAGAGTGTAAAAATGGCCTGGAAATGTGAAATGCTGCTCATCTCATTAGCAGTGAGGTAGATGTATATCACCTCTCATCAAGCATCATCATACACTGTCCATAATGGGTAACATTACAGAGGTTGACATGGGCGGGGGATCTAGCTCAGCGGCACAAGCACCTGCCTGGCAAGCGCAAGGTCCTGAGTTTGATTTCCAGTACCAAAAAAAGTTAGAATACAGTCTAAAAAGATTGGCAATACCAAGTTGTGACTAGAACAATAGAATACAAGTGGGTTGTTGGAGTATGTATTACTTTGGTGCAGTCTCTTTGGAAAATAGTTTGGCATTATCTCTTAAAATTGAAGGTAAACTTTGACCCAGTAGTCCATGATCCAGTAATTACAATCCTAGGTCTATATGTTAAGTGTTTGCAATATGCTTGAAAAATATGGTAAATATTTAAATTTTAAAAATGTATTACAGTGAAAGACGCACTGCCATTAGGTCTCAAAACACTCCCCCTCACTTCAAACCCACTTATCCTGTTATTCTTGCTACTTTATGAAGCATTCTGGAAGTCTCCTTCACTATCTATTGTTGTGTTATTACAGCTGATGGATATTCTCAATTTGATTCAAAATGTGAACCTTTCATGGTCATTTTGATTTAGGGGGAGAGCTAGAAGTCTCATGGTGCCAGATCTGGTGAATAAGGAAGAGGAGAACACACGTCAGTGCTTTACCATCTGCCTCTTCACTGGCTGGCACGCAGGAGCAACATTCACTGTATTTTTGATCATATTTTATAAAGATGTCCATGAAAGAGGACTTCTGGAATGCTTCAGAAAGTGTCAGGAACAGTGGGATAAGTGTGTTTGAAGTGAGGGAGGATATTTGGGGGGGGATTAATGGTAATGTGTTTTTTACTATAATAAATTTTAAAATTTAAACATTCACCGTATATTTTGATCACCTCTGGTATACATGTGTGCACCAAAGGACATGATTAGAGCATTTAGTAGCACTACTTGTTAACTTAGTATGTATCTTTGAATGTGATTTTTATTTGTTTTTCGTAGCCAGGCAGATTTAGCCAGTCCTCTGTCTAATGCTGTGCAAGTTGTTGGCATGAGTGCCACTCTTCCTAATTTGGAGGTTGTAGCTTCCTGGTTGAATGCCGAACTCTACCATACTGACTTTCGTCCTGTACCACTTTTGGAGTCAATAAAAATTGGAAATTCCATTTATGACTCTTCAATGAAACTTATAAGGGAATTTCAACCCATGCTACAAGTGAAGGTAAATCATTACTTTTATATCACTACTATCAATATTTTTGTATTTGATAGCATTTTCTAACTGATTATTAATAATTTTTGAATTATATAATTAGGGGCTGCAAAGTTTATATATCCATTAGAATTAATATTAAGCTAATATTAAAGAGTTGATGGTGATAGGAGTATAGTTGTGTCTTTAAATGATCATTATTTCCTGATATACAATGTAAACATTTTAAAAGTACCTAATTTTGTGAATTTTTATATTTAACTAATAAAATATTTTCTTATGGTTTAGCCTACACTAGCTTAATGTGGAAAAGTAATCTTTTATTAGTTACACTAATTTTGTACTATACTAATGGTGGTTATACTAAATAGTATATAGAATGAAAACAACTTAATTTTATGATGTAGACAGTCCCTCCTTTGAGTCTTTTTTTGTTTTGTTTTGTTTTGGTTTTTTTTTTTTGTTTTTTTTCTGGTACCGGGAACTGAACTCACGACCTTGCGCTTGCCAGGCAGGCGCTTTTGCCGCTGAGCTAAATCCCCAGCCCCCCTCCTTTGAGTCTTAATAGAGATACTTGTTATGACTGAGATATTGGTTGAATTACAAAATCTCTGTTTATAAAATAGGATTGTAATTATTTAGTACTGTTGTAACAACAAAAAACAATTTCAAAAATTGTCTAACATTTGGAAGAGTTTGATAAGTATAAAGCACACTCTCAGACCCTTGAATATACTATTGTTTATTTTTAATTTTTCATCTTTTTGAATAAAAAATTTAATAGTTTTTTTAGTATTTTTTGTGATATATATTGCATATGTTCATTGTGGGGAGTTGGTATGTTCATGTATCACAGCCTAGTTTTTTTTTTGTTTTACTTCCCCTTCTCCTCCCCTGATCACACTTTTAAAATTTTTAGTTGACAGTATTTTATTTGCTGAGCCTGATTCTTTAAGCCCAAAGTTAAAGAAGTGTTACGTGCTTCTACTGAGTGAGAGATATTTTCTTTTTTTTTCCTTTCCTTTTCTTTTTTAGTTTTTTTTAGTAGTCCTGGGCATTGAACCCATGGAGCTACATCCTCAGCCCATTTTTATTTTATTTTTATCAATTTTTTTATTTTTAGACAGACTGTTACTAAATTGTTAAATTGTCCAGGCTGAGCTCTAACTCATGCTTCTGCTGTTTCACCTTCCTAGAGTGCTGGGATTTTAGGTGTGAAACTTTGACTGACACATCTTCTGTTTTTATTTTTATTTTTATTTATTTATTTATTTCCAGTTTTTTGAGACAGAGTCTCAATGTGTAGTCCAGGCTGGTCTTCTTCAGTATGTAATCCAAGCTGGCCTCAAACTTACAGTGACCCTCTTGCCTCAGCCTTCTGAGTGAGGTGTGAGCCACCACCCCTTGCTATTTTTATGCACGCTGATACCTCTGAGTACTGAGAGAGCCGAGCGCCACTTTAGAGTAGGGAGTAGGGCTAACTTTGTGTCAGTATCTGCATAGGTATGGATTTGTGGCCTCTGCTTACTTGGTATGGAATCTTCCTCAGTTGTGTTGCTCTTCACCCTAAACTTCCCCAGGCTTTGCCCTAGCAGCTCCATACATTTATAAGTTGAACACATTTTTTGCTCACTTGTTCATCTTTTCTTCTGATACCATGTCTATGCCTCCACCCCTCTGAGCCACTTTCACTTCTGAACTGCATTACTGAGACAGCCTTCTATTGTTTTCTCTGCTTGTTCCCTTCAGTCTCTGCTTTTTTAAAAAATTTATTTTAAAAATAAAAGGAAAACATATTAACAAACAGACATCCATTTACAAAATAGCATCGGAACAATACAAGCAACAAAGAGTTACAAAGTGGTAGGAAATTAACAGTGGTTGTTGTATTAGGTATTGATCTCTTCAAAGTGGTTTCTCAGGAAAACAAAGAGACATGCAAGATAGATCAAGTAAGTAATCATTAACTGATTCTTTCAGTAAAGCGATAGAAGTCAGTAGTACAGCTATGTTAGCTAGCCTGGATGATGTTAGCTATCCTGGATTCTGCTTAAATAAGAGCTGGCGATCTATTTACAATGAACATCAGATCACGTTATTTGTCCTCTCAAAAACTTACAGTGGCTCGTTTCGCTTAGATTCAAAGCCAACATCTTCCAAGCCGCCTGCAGAGCCCTGTATGATCTGCTCCCACTGGGCGCTCTGAGCGTGCCCACTGCGCCCTCCTCACCCGCTTGCCATTCTTCCCTGGGCCAGGCGTCTCTCACCTCCATTCTCTTTGCAGTTCTTCCCCTCTGGGTATCAGGATGGTTCACTCAGCCACCAGGGCTCCTTTATCAAATGTCATTTTCTTAGACCTTTCCTGGACACCTTATCTAAATTACAGTGTTCTTTTCATGGTCCCTAATTACTTTCCCTGTTTTATTTTTCTCTGTAGTGCCTTTTCAACATTAAACGTATTATAAATTTCACTTTCTTTTTGCTATTTTCCGGCTCTTCCCACTGGAGTAAAAACGGTATGAGGGCAGAACTTGTTTCTGCTTCTTTCTCTGCTGCGTCCCCAGTTCCTAGAACAACACCTGGCACACAGTCAGTTGTGCAGTGAGTCGACGGAGGCATGAATTCATTCACAGATTCACATTTTTCCTCTGTGGGGAAGTTGCAGGCTGGCACAGGGCACTCACACATGCTCTTTGTTCCGCCTGAACAATGTGTTACTCTATTCAGATAATATTTCCCTCCCATTGACATCTTAGCTAAATCTTTTCTTTTATTTATTTATTTTTTTTTTTGGTCTTTTTGAGACAGGTCCTCGCTGTGCAGTTCAGGCTGGCTGTGAGCTCACTTTGTAGCCCAAGCTGGTCTCCAACTCAAAATGATCCTCCTGCCTCAGCCTCCCAAGTACTGGGATTACAGGAGTGTGCCACCACCCCTGGCGAGTAAATCATTTTCTTAGGGCAATTTTTCCTTAAGGTCTTGATCAAATTTCTGTCAAATATGAGACCTTAAAAAGACTGTAAAAACTGTTTTTTTTTTTAGCACATCTCATGGTTGTATTTTACATTTATTTGAGT